AGGAGAGCCAAAGAGGCAGATGCAGTTGCTTCCCGATTATCCTTTCGTTTCTGAGCCTTGTTGCCTGCCTGTTCCTTGGGGCTGCTGGCAGACCTCCCTGCAAACACTTTTGCCCTTGGAGTCAACTGCACCTTTGGCATGGGTGATTTTGTTTCTGCAGTCACCTGCGCTGCCACTCTGGCCTTACCTTTCTTTTCTTTTGGGCTCACTGGGGGCTCTGGTGGCTGGACATCAGAGCATTCTGCAAACTCTGCGTCCAACTTCCGCTTCACAGGCTGTTTTCTGGCCTTTACTGCTTCTGCTTTGGCCATTGCCCTCTCCAACTTAAGCTTTGCTTTTTCCACCGCCAAATTTGATGCCTGTTCTTTTTTGTCAATGGCCTGTTGTTTCTTTCGTTCAATCTCGGCCTTTGCTTCATCATCAAGTTTTTTCTTCAATGCCCTTTGCCCTTCTAGGTTTCCATCGACACCATTTGCAGGCACTTGACTCTTTGCGGCTTCCAAAACACTTGGGTTCAGCTGTGGTGGGTCTGCAATCATTTCTGTATGCTTTCTCCCTTTCTTGTTCCCAAGCTCTTTAGGATCAGCTGTCATTGCTGAGGGTGTCTCTGAGGCTGTTGGACGGGTGTCTTGAACTACCTCTCCACAAGTAGGACCAGGAAGCTGGGAGTCATTGAGCATGTCTTCATCCATGTCATCCGGAAGCTGGGAGTCTGTGAGCATAGTTTCATCCATACCGTCCAAGTTCGACATGGCCTGCATTTCAATATCTCACACAGGATGTAACAAAGTGTTTATCTAAACTTAGTTGTGCACTAGTGCTTCAAAGGCAACTGGCCTTCAAGGCACCTGGATATGCACCAAAGAACTGTTTGATGCGCTTTGAGTAAGGCACAAAACCATCAGACCCAGAAGTGGTATCCTTGAATGCCACAAAACCACGTAGACAGGTGATACACCAAGTAAGCTTGCAAGGGTATTAGTTTGCTTCTTAAACATATCCAATGCACATCAAAGGGCAGGCTGGTGATCAGAAGATCCACTTGCTGCATGTGTGGAATCACACAGCACCTCATCAACCTCAGCAAGACTTTGGTTGATGTAGGTAGGCACGAAGCCATCAAAGCTATGATCCTGATCCCAGAAATCCTATATGGAAATCATGTGTTCCAACGCATGCACTTATGCATTATGCATGTCAAGAGGCAGGCTGGTGATCAATAGATCGACTGGCTGCTTGTGTGGAACCATGCAGCCCCTCCTCAACCTCAGGAAGTGTTGGATATAGGCATGAAGCTATCAAAGCTATGACCCCAGTGACATCATCAAGGGACAAACTCTTTGTAAATAAGAGCATGTGGATGATGTTGTTTCTTGTACTTTTCTCGTGCATATGCATCATGCGTGTCAAGGGACAGGCCGGTGATCAGAAGATCCTCTAGGTGCATGTGTGGAACCATGCAGTGCCTCCTCAACCTCAGCAAGACTTTGGGCATAGACGTGAAGCTATCAAAGCTATGACCCCTGCTAGTGATATCATCAAAGCACAAACTCATAGAAATCACTATTGTATCCAACACACGTGTGCTGGTGGTGTGCTTGTATAATAAATACATGTGGATCATCTTGCTTCTTGAACATTTTTATGTACATATGAATTATGCATGTCAAGGGGCCGGCTGGTGATCATGAGAAGGTCCACTAGCTCCACTTGATGCATACGTGGAACCATGCAGTGCTTCCTCAGCAGAAGCATCTGCCACACCAGCAGGCTCAACCTTAGCAATTGGCTGTACTAGTACTCGCTTCGAAAAAAAAAAACAAAAAAGAACATCCCAACACCAGAGTGTTCACAGCACCAGTACTTGAAAACATGTGTCAAAAATTGACTCAGAAACATCAGACAGTTCCATCTTCACTGGTTGGTTCCTCGGTTGCTCAACCACATGGACACTGATGATAATCGGCTCGTCATCATACTCAATCTCCAGGTGATGATCATCCTGATGATGGCATTTATGCTTTGTTGCATCCAAGTGCATGCACACAGCACACACACAAACTAATCAGTATGGTCCTCGATGGGTTCTGGATGTTCATCATCTAGAACAATCGCACCCCCTGCTTTTGCCATTGCCTGCACAAAGTATATGTAAGAACATATACCTTAAGCTTCAGCATGCAAAGTTGATTGTGATTTGTTCCTGCCCAACTTGGCCTCTAGCTTGAGCGTTCTGAAGCAAGTGATAATCTTCTTGAGGACCTTGATCTTGTCACTCCTTCGGTTTTTTGGTTAAGTCATATATTTGGAACATTGTGAAACTACATATGTACATGATAACCATATGATCTTGCGCACCTGGCTTCCCCGGTCTTGTTTGTGAGGATCACAAGATAGGACATCATCTTCCTCAAGCGACAAGCCTCACCATTGGCCCAATCCTGAATCAACAGAATAGAAACCTGGAAGAATCATTCTTGGTCATGTTGTTTCATTGATTGTGCTATAGATGAATCCAAGTTTCTCGAATCTGGCCTTTCCCACCTCTTTGGTTGTAGAGGGCAGAGTGGAAGTTGCACCGCAAGGAGAGCAGCAAAAATGCCGACTGCACATGACCAACCACAGAACTAGTATGCATACTTAAACTGATCACACTAGTTGTTTGTTTCACATAAATGTATGTATACTTGACCAGCCTCAAACTCAGCTAGATTGGGCACTTCATACTTCCTAGTATGGTTGATGGACTCTTCAAAGACATTGAAGGTTGACTCCTTGAGCAGCTCGAAGTTGCGCTCAAGGTCAGCTTCCCCCACAGTAGCCCGATCCCTCGCAGTCCAGAGAACCACCGACCTGTTAGAATCAGCCATGATTCTAGGGCCCCAATGCTCACAGTACGTCTTCAGGGAAGAGTAGAGCTGTTGCCCAATTGCCTCATCCAAAATATTGTTTGACAATTTTAACCTAAATGATCCCAACAGTCTTGTCTGTTTCGTTTTGAACAAGAGATCACCTGTTCAGATATTAAAAAAAAGGGTTGCCACCAGGAAGCAGTAACCTTGAACTTCATTGGCTTTGTCACACAAAGCTCATTTCCATCCATATGCTCCTCTACCGACAATCCCCGCTTGATGGCCATGGCACCGAGGTATGGATGTGGAACAACTGAGCCAGATCACCGCTGCGCTGGGAGTGGGCTGTTTGGTGTGCATGCAGTCAAATCAGCAATTACACTCAATCCATCTCAATCCAATACATAGTTCTTCAACCTAGTCTTACCTTTGCAACGGTCTCTGTGCAGGGATGTGCTATATCCAAAGGCCAGCGCACCTTTGAGGCCACATGTTCTGAGCAGCCCCATCGCTCTCCCAGTGGCGGTGTGAAGTAAACATCTAGAAGCTAAATCATTTTACATTATTTTACATAAATTGGTTCAACAAACACCTGGAAGTGACGTTCAATAATCTAGTTGCCAAATCATGAATATTCCTAAGTATATAGCTATTCTGCTTGCACAGCTATTGTAGCTGATCAGAGCATCAATCACTCATGTGGTCATGATTTGGGCCACCACCGCCTTTGAGACCGCTTGTAAAACCAGTGGACTGGGCCTGGGCTGGAGGAATCAGGATGAAAATGTGGGTCCAGGTAGGTTCACAAGTGATTTTTCAGCCAGACAGACTGACATATGATGTCAAACATAGGGAGATTCATTGAAAACATGTCAGCTTAGCCGGTGATTCATAAGGCTATGACCCAGGATCTCTCCAGCACGGTATTCGGGAACTTAGTTATACCAGGACCATGCTGACAAGATTTTGGTCTAGACATACTGTCACAGACAGCTTGGCCAATCATACGCTGAGCATACACTTGGATGTCCAGGGCCTCAAGAGGTAGTTAGACACCAAGCAGGTAGTTCTAGGCCCAAGGGGTGCGTATTCTAACCCGATCTATCGTGCCTTCTATCTGTCGTGCGGGCTTAGACTATATATAATAATAGCAACTTCATGAGTTTGAGCCATCCAACATGAGCTGCACACTGACCTTCAGGCCCCCCTGGCCTAATGGGCTTGGTCTAGTTCTATCTAATCCCGAGTACCTATTAAAAAACGGACCCCTATTAAAGAAAAAAATCATGTCGGATCCCCCTAAGTACGGTTTATATGTGTTTTTAAATTGCCGCCCTTTCAAGCCGCTACTAAACTACCAACATGGCCGATTTTGGAGAGGTTCTTTATTAGGTTCCAAAAACAACCGTAACTGCCCACCTCTGTCCGCCCTGTCTATCCACCATGACACACCGCGCTTACACCAGCAGGCTTTCCTTCCCCCAATGGCACGGACTCACGCAAACGCACTTGCCACCGAGGTCATGCAACACCGCATGGCACAGCGACATCACCTTTCGAAAGCTTTAGCTGTTAGTCTACTGAAGAATCACTATTCTAATGAAGGTCTTTGTAGGGGAAAAGAAGACCCTTCGATCTGGAGGTTTTTTGCATTTTTGATACGAGTTTAATAAAGGATTTTACATAAAATGTTACTGGATTATACTTTTTGGTTTTGAAACTCTTTCCAGGTGACCCTATTTTCGACCCCCGGATTTCAGGGACCCCCTATTAGAAAAAATGCGACCGAGGACCGAGGTTTCCTTATGAGGGGGGGGGGGCCGTGTTTGTTAATAGGTGGACCGGATTGGTGCCCTCTTCCGAACGTCCAGTTTGGTCGATGGGACGAGGCTACAAATAACCCTTGTCCTTCTCCCCGGCGGGATTCGCAGCATTGATTTAACGGCCTGTGCCAAACAACCATTGCTTCACTAAAGGGTGTCACACTACAAAAACATCAAAAACCAGGTTTTACATGGTCTTTGAAGGCTATACGGTGTCCACTGTGCAAAGGCCGCCCTTGCAGCCCTTGCAAAATCCATCTTCCTGAGCCGCTTGCTCAACAAACCAATTTGGGTACCCCAACAGGACAGGCGAAAAAAACCCAGCCTTGTTTCGGACACCTACGGCTTCCTGTCGGAGTTCCCTGTTCGCCTGGTCGTCCCTCCAGGTCGACCTCGGTTGACCGGGTTGACCCCGACGACCGTCGAGGCGTCGAGGCGTCGAGGAACCTCGAGGGAGCCGCACCTGGGGACTTTCACGATCTCTTCCACGAGGTGCTCGTAGGGCACTGGCACCACCTACGTCGAGTCGTGTCGGGTGATGTTTGAACGCAGGCCGTTTTTGGGGCGAGTTAGGGCCTTCCGTTCAGAGCACCAACAGAATTGTTTGATCTGGTTAGTCTCAAATCCTTATAAAAATAGTAAAGACATGTAAAGACCCTTAAAAACATCTTGGAATCTAGGGGCGGGGGAAGTCAGACCTCCGGGCCTCAAATTCTGGTTCACCACCATTCATTGAACAGGCGTGTTTTCTTTTCCGGTCTCAACCATTGCTTTACGGAGGATTTAACACTGCAAAACAAGGTCTTGGAAGGCTAGGGTCTTGGCAACCATGTATATTTTAATGAACTATAGTGTAGATTCTTAATCAATAACCACCGTTTAGTTTTAACATCAATGTCTGGGGGAAGTTTTAGAAATTAAACAGCTCTACAAAGTGAAGTACGAAAGACCAAACCAAAAAAGCACAGACCAGTCACATGCCCTAGGGCTCCAGTCGTACCTTCTAAGCAGGTTTAGAGGGTCCCGTCATACCTTCGTTTCAGAGGTACTTACTGGAGGTGTAAGGCTCTAGTACTAGGGACATGACCAAACTCACCGAAAACTATCCCCTCCCACCCCCTCCTATCACCCTGCTCACCTCGCTCGATCTCCGCACCCCGCGCGAAATCTCGGAGCGAAGAGAACGAAGAGCTTCGCTCGATTTCCCACCTGAGGCACTTCCTCGATCTTCTCCACTTCGCGGATGTCCGGAATGTCCAGGAAACGCACCTGGAGAGTATGGGTGGCTTTGTTTGACCCGGCTGAAGATGTATGTTCCATCCAATAACCACACGCATTGGGTGGTGCCAATGTGTGTTCCTTGTGATTTCTCGCTTCACACCGCCTTGGTAGAAAGGCCTTCAGAAGGCTGAAATGGATGCAAACATGGTGACAGAACGCCAGGTGATTGCTCAGTATAGCGCTCATTCCACTGATTTTGCATTTGCTGGGCTGCTTAGCTGTTTGCATATTGAGCGACGGCCAAATTTGTCGTGGAGTTGCAGGTCATTAGGATTTGGTGAGTGTGTTGTCGTTTTTGAGCGACACTTGCCGTTTTTGGTCATCCCGTGACCACTCACTTGTCACTGAAACACTTATTTGAGCCTATAGCTCATTATCCCAGTGGTTGAAGTTGGAGGAATCAATGACAGTTTCATCAACGTTTAGCTCGTTTCCTTCTTGCTGTGATTCGTAGCCCAGACATACACAAACGCGATCCGCGACCCGAACCTATGCAGGGGGTCGGACCCGAATTCTCTGGAGGGGTCTGGACCTTCTCACCAATCGTTCTGGTTTGGTTCGGGACCCCGGTCGGGCGTCGTTCACGGAGCGTCTGGGTGATGGAATCCCGAACCACCGAGCTGAATTGAAGGATTTTAGACTACCAGGTCAACCCACCTGTCAGGGACTGGTCAGGGCTTCTCAGCAATGGAAGATCCCCAGAAATCCACCTGTCGGGGACTCGTCTTGACGTCGAAACGCTGCAGGGTCTCGGGCTTGGTTGGTTTATGTTGGTCTCAGGTCAATCTATGCAATGGGGAGGCATACCATTCACCACCCAGCAACTGTATGGCAGATCTACATCCATTGTTGGTTTGTTTGCTTCGCTTGCTTTTTTTGTTCTAGCAGCTGTCAACGGGCTGGCATATACCTGGATCTTCCAACTATACAAAAATGTCTGCCTAACTTAACTTGACTGTTCTTTTAGATGAACAGGCAACCTTTTGCATATACCAGCATCCTTCAACAGGTCACCAATTGAGACCTGTTAGGCCCAACAATATCAACAATCCCCTGTCACGAGGAGACCTGGCAGGGAGGATGTTGGTACTTGGAAGATCTAGGTATAGCCCAGTCTCACGGAGCGATTCTCTTCTTCTTTTTGACCGATCCAAAAAAACACCCTCCACGTATGGAAGAGTTACTGACGTGGCTGGGGCATGAATGAGGTAAATGTATCCCTACTACAGGTGAAAGGCGACCTCATTCTACTGGAGTTCCAACATATTAAAATACTACTCGGCTTTCAGGACCAGCTTTGGACCAAGAAAGGGTATAGATGTGCAAACCCTGACAATCAAAGACTATATGCAAATAGTGGTCTGACGAACGGTGACCCGATTTCAGGAATTTCCCTATGCCAGACACTCCATGTGCCCCTGAAATCAACCACCCCTGTCTGTATGGATTGCGTCCCAGTCCACGATCGTCCTGTCTGAGTCGCCTTTTTCGGATCACTCTTCCGGTCTGAAACATCTGAGAATCCGACGAAACCAACCCACTTACAGTACCCAGTGGATCCCCGCCTCCTCAGTGATCACTGGCACATCGACAAACTCCTGCGGTCCGTGCCAGGGTTGGTTGGGCGCAGTGGTCCGACAAACATCACCCGACGTACGTCCAGTTCGCTCCCCAGGTCCAAACCTGGTCAGTCGACATGTCTAGGCTACCTCCTGGATAGTATTGGTCTTGTATGACCATCTCCAGTATTTCATGAGGTCAGTTCCTGCCTTGTACGTTCATAAGAAACTAGGGCCGGGAGACTGGGATGTTTCGTCCACAGTACACTCTCCCGGCGGATGGCACGGTCCATTCAGGTTCAGACGAACCGAAAGGCAGAACGGGCCAGCCGCCAGCCATACCGTAACCCTGTGATGGGCTTCCTCAAAGGGTATAGGATAGGGGCTTCAGTGGTGCTCCCAATCTCAGTTGATCACATTCCATCACATTCCCAGATCCGGTACCAACACAAGGGTGGCATCAGGCTACAAACCCCAATCACTTGGAGGGGTTCTATCTATGGAAGGCCCAAGGATTCTGAGGGATGGAAGACCAAAACCCTGAACTCACTTCAGGCAAGGGTCTTATTCTTAACGTTTGTAGCAAGGTAATGCTTACCAAGCACAAGTAGGGAGAGAACCAACCCTGAACTCACTCTTGATGATAGAAATCCAAACGGCTGGATGATCCCACGGCTGAACGTTCATGGTGGAGAATTGGATTGATGGTGCAGACTGTCGGATCACATAATAGATTATCAAACTTGAAGTGACAAAAATGATCATATGTGCTAGATGTTCAACAATGGTTGCATGGGCACACTCCCTTTCACCAGCTTGACACTCGACAAGGCAAAGACTGCGTGAAAACGCCCAATGTGGACACTCGACTCTCCGTCCTGCTTCAAGTGTTCCTCGACTAAGGTTTCCTAGGAGAGTGAAGCGTTCCCACTCAGCTGTCCCATCTCTTGTACTTCAGAATCCGTGCTCGAAGCGACTATACCTGGACCTTCAAGGGGTGTCCTGGCTGGAGGTCCCTGTACGTGGTGTAGAGGCTTCCAGCCAGGTGACCACCCCGACATGAAGGTGCTGGTATAGGTGTTTAGAGTATTTCAGGGTGACCCGGGTGACCCCTGCTTCAACGCAGAAAGTGGAGGTTCGGTCCAACCTCTGCCGTGGAGGGACTTGATATGGTCTTAATGACAGCACCCTAGGGCCCTAGGGGCCTGTCTTCCCCTCCTGGCTGGAGACCTATAGGTTCTTTTGGCCCTGAGGGCAATGGATGGCAAATGGCGGGCGAGTTTCTCATGTTGGCGGGCCTCCAAAACACCACTCACTTCCCCCTATGACCACCCCGAAAAGGGAAACAAAAACAGCCTAAGGAATCTCCCAAAAGCATCCAAAAACCATGAGCCCGAGGCCTGGTGGAAAGGACAAGCCCGAAGCAGATGGGAAAGTCGGGATTCTCACATGTTCTCACCAATCATCACCAATACATACCAATACCATCCAATACCAATACCTGGATTTGATACCTACCAGGACCATCCTGTGACTGGGTGTTCTCGCTGGACTACCCTATACACTATACTTAGGGATCTCCATTGGATGGTGCAAATATACTTTTTGAGGTCCTGGTCAAAGTCGTTTTGGTCCGTCAAGGGCGCATCATTGCCTGAAGTCTCAGTTCGTACCTCAGACTGATGGGACTGGCATATAAATCCATACATCCAGGGGCCCGAACCATATTCCCATGCAAAAACAAAGGTTTTCAGCTACAAAAACATACAAACACCTTTTTTTTTTGCTAGGGAACACCAGGTTTTGGATGGACCATGTGGGGTCCCCATACATTGGGCTGGTTGACCGCCACGGCCAGGCATGGAGTGTGACCACGGCCCTCGGGCCACCGACCCCGCGGTGCTGAATGATGTGCGCGGGCCTTGGTGCGGATCGTGGTGCTGGAGGTCTTCTCAGTTTGAGTGAAGATGGGATGTAAAACAGCAAGATACTGATGTTGTGCACAACGGATGATGTTGTGCACATACTGAAGTATCGGACGTTGTGCACAACGGATGTAAAACGGCAAGATACTGATATGATGATACGACCCGGCTCACATGATACTGGGCCACTTGAGGCCGAGGGTAGGTGACGAAAGCGAACGCAGGGATGCATCCGTGTCAGTGGAGGCGAAGCATACAGCGCCGTCCAGTGACAAAGGACTGGTGGGACATCAAGCGGAGTGAGGCAAATCTTTTTTCATAGGCATGGGGCTGTTGGAGGGATGGTTCACAAGGTCTCGCTCATGAGGTAAAACGTTGTGAACATGTAAGGCACACGAACAGCAATGACACAGCCAACCTTAGCTTGTGAATCTGTTGAATCTGTTGCATCGTATCCCAAAACCTCCACGGAGGAGTTCAACCAAAGTGGATGCCATAAGAGGTGTCCAAGAGGTGTCCCAGAGGCGTCCTAGAGGGGAGTTGAACCCGCGGGGGGGGGGGGGCGCCCTCTACATATGAAGTTTTCACGTGATGCGGCGATCTCGAGGATTCCAGCCCCTCACTTGCTAAAGCAAGGACAACTCCAGCTAGCTGATGCTAGCTTTCGTGATTAAGGGCCATGACCTCTCCTGGCTCAAAAGGACAGGCCCTATACTAGTCCAACCTTTTTAAAACATGGTCGGACTCCTGTCTTGCACTCCCAAAACTAACCCTACAAGAATCCGGGCCCGGTTCGCAACACATAGGATTTGGGACCCAGGTCCGGACCCCGTTTCGGTGGAGAGGGTCCGTTCGGATTCTGATCCCAGCCTCGTCGCTTCAGGGAACCCAAAATGCCAAGAGGCGAGGTGTGCTGCTCCACCTTCCGCTGCGTGATGCTGGGTGGTGCGGCCTGCAACGGCTGCGAACGACGGAATCGGAGTGGGTCCGGACCCGTTTCCCAAACCCTCTGTGCTGCTTGGGAGGGGAAAGGTGCGTGCCTCGGTCTTTGGAATCCCAAGTTTATTCCCAAGGATGAGCAAAGGCCACCAGGGTTGGATTGAAGGTGTTGGCATTGATGTTTGGTGAAAATTACACCGGCATAGTGCATAGACCCCAAATAGCGGTGTATAGGTTTAAAGGACATGCCATGGATGGCTGTCACCGCAGCATGCAACATCAGACCAGTCCACCAATATGCGCAAGATCTATCAGCTGAAACTACAAGTGAGTGGGTCAAGTTGAACCAACAAACCCTTGCATTGATTGTTACTGTGATGTTGCGTTGTTGCCAGCCAAGGCATGGCAGGAAATCCTGCTTTGTGAAGATGTTGAGCGATGCTCGGTTGTCTCTTCATCATGATTTTTCCACTTTCAGCCCCTCGAGAACCTTCAAAGGTAAATTGCATTAAATTGTCATTGCTGAGTTTACAATGAACCTGACGAAGGAGAAAGCGGTCGATGGTATCATGGTTTCAAATCGGAGGACTTTGTCGGGAAGATATCTGAGCTGGCAGTAGCTTGTTCGAAACCCTATCTAGAAAAAATGTGTTTCCTCGCGTCTTCATGGGGCTACACTTGGAGCTACTTATCATCGAACAGCTTTGGGTGTTGTAAGTTTGATTTTGGGTTGATTATCCTTCTGATTGGGTGGCTTAACTTGCATCAATACGCCAGTGGCTGAATCTGCTATGGATGTGAAGTCGAGCAAGCAAAGGGAGGAAAAAGTGGCTGCTGGGATTGGCTGGAAATGGGACATGGATGTACACCCATGATCCCGGCAAGAGACCCGAAACAGTGTGTGTGAGGTCTGTATGCAGAAAGTCTAGAAATCTAGACCCCAAGTGGTGATGGTGAGTGAGTGAGTGAGTGAGTGAGTGAGTGAGTGAGTGAGTGAGTGAGTGAGTGAGTGAGTGAGTGAGTGAGTGAGTGAGTGAGTGAGTGAGTGAGTGAGTGTGGAGTGAGTGAGTGAGTGAGTGAGTGAGTGAGTGAGTGAGTGAGTGAGTGAGTGAGTGAGTGAGTGAGTGAGTGAGTGTTTGAGTGAGTGAGTGAGTGAGTGAGTGAGTGAGTGAGTGAGTGAGTGAGTCAGTGAGAGTGTGCGTGTGAGCGTGAGCGTGAGTGAGTGAGTGGCCGGAGAGTGAGCGAGTGTGAGTGTGGGTGTGAGCGTGAGAGTGAGAGTGAGAGTGAAAGTGAGAGTACGAATGAGAGTGAGAGTGGGTGAGTGAGTGAGAGTGAGAGGACTGAGACTGAGACTGAGACTGAGAGTGTGTGCGAGCGAGTGTGAGTGTGAGTGTGAGTGTGAGTGAGAGTGGGAGTGAGAGTGAGAGTGAGAGTGAGAGTGAGAGTGAGAGTGAGAGTGAGAGTGAG